ATAAGGGGGAGCGTTAAAACGAAAGCCTCACTTAATACTTTACATTGCAAAGGCTTTCATGCTTTCCCCCTCTTTTTTGGTGTCTTTGATAAAAGTAGACAGATTCGTAATGACAGGTGTCAGAGTCGCAGCCGCGTTAGTCTGTATTCGCAAAAAGAAAAGGAGTACTTGTGGCCCCTTAGAGACTAACCAATTTATTTGAGCATCAGGTTTCGTGAGCTACAGCTCACGCTCAAATAAATTGGTTAGTCTCTAAGGGGCCACAAGTCCTCCTTTTCTAGATTCGTAATGGTGGTTGTTACCCTGGGAGCCACCAGTAATAACCTGGCACAAAATCCTGGGCCACATTGATCTGTTTAATGCTGCAATATGGAGCAAGGGGTTCATCTAACCGTTAGCCCTGGGTGGGCCCCTTTTCAGCCCCTCAGTGCTCATCAAAAACTCTGGATGAAATGTTCATTGGAATCTAGCAGCGCCTTGGGGGGGCAGATTTGACATGTAATGGAGACTTGCTCATCTGCACGTGTTTAAACCGAATCACCAGACGTGAGGGGAGGAAACAGGGAACAGACTGGGAGGGATTCTGGGAAGAAGGATGGCCACTTGCCTCTGACCCAAAGTCAGCTGAAGTCAATTTCAGTGGGCTTGGAATCGAAGTTTCGTTTAAGGGCTGGGATTCAGGATGTCTGCCACAGGCCTCCTGGAACAGTCACTGAGCTACACCTTCCCCGTCTGTACAATGGGCACCGTGATACCACCCTCCCTTCCTGGACATTTCTGAAGTACCACTCCAAGCTTCTACATAGTTTACAAAAGCTCTTCTTCCCCGGGGAGATCTGCAGAAGAAAGAGCTCACATGGTTCTCATCAACCCCATGAAAAGGAACGGCGTTTGGGTCTACGTCCTGCCCTACCGATCTGAACATTCCTCGCATTTGGCTAACCTTCCTTTATGATTTTCAGAGCAAGCCCTTTCACCTTTGCATTGCGTTCCTGGCGTTGAACTGTTCTCTCTTTGCACACGTCTAGGGTGGGGCGGGGACTTCCCCAGCGCATACTGTTAGCTCTTTATAACACCCACTTCAGACCGGTGCCTTCATCCTGACCGGTGTAGTGGTTATTGCACAGAGGGGGCATGGGGCAGAATGCAGCAGAGCATGGCCAAGAGTTGCAACAATAGGTGCCTAAAGCCAGGACCCTACATAAGACGCCTGTTTTTCAAAACCGCGGAGTCCCCCAGCAGTCCCCAGGGGTCTGAGTGAGAACAGCTGGGGGCTCGGCCGGAGCTGGACTTTATGTTTAACTATCTTGGCCTTGTGCCACGCAGCCTGGTCCTGCGGCGTGCTGCGATTCCAGACACATGCACAAGTCAGGTGAACTCCTGCTCCGGTTAATATTTAACCCTCGGATGAGCGATACAGGTGCCCAGGGCACTGCAAGGAAAGCTTCTGGACGGGGAGGAGATGGCGAAGTCAGAGGTGCTACCGGGAGCTACAGCAGGGGAAGGACTGTGCCACGCTGAGCAGCTGTGAGCCACGCTGCCCGTTTTCTGTCCCATGAATCAGGCCAATCCAGACTACATTTTGATCCAAAGGCATTGGGTGTCCCCTGCTCTGGGGCTTGTGCAAATTGAAAACAAACACAAAAAACCCACCAGGTCTATCAGAATCCCAGCGGGATAAGCCAAAGGGCCTGCAACAAAGGCAATCACAGACCACAGCATTTTGCAAGCCAAATAACCGCTAAACCAACATCCCCCTCCACCCCCCCCCCCGAACCAAACAAAAAACTCTCGCTCCAGATGCTGCGGAGGAGGGAGGGATAAGAGCACTGGAGGAATGGGCCAACCTGCTCTTCACGGAGATCTAATCCGGGTCTCCAGTCGACTTAAATTCTGAAGCACAAGGTTGAATTTCCCTGCCAACTTTTGAATTGTCATTAGCTATGTGAGGAAGTGGGGTTTTTCCCTTTGTTATGTTGCATGTGAGTCTGACTGTGCTGGGTGTGCCTCAGTTTCCGTGTGGACTGCACCGATGCCTAGGTGGTGGGAATTGGGTGTGTGACTTTTCTGAGGCCCTCAGGAGCAGGTGAGGCTGCCCAGCTGCCTGCACGTAAGTAAGTGATGGCCGGTGCCCTTCATAATCTGAGACCCAAGAGGGGGATGCAACCAGGTGACGCTTTGCCCAGGAAGCAGGACAAGCCCAGGGGAGGAACCACAGCCCTATTGGAGGCCAGGCAGTGGGGGGCAGGCAGTCTGCTGTGGGGGACTTGGAGACGGGGGAGAGACAGGGGGTCGGGCCCGGGATTCCCCCAAGATGGGGTTGGCTGAAAGTCACTGATTTCTGTGCTGACAAGCTCTGTTCTGTGCTGTGTACCTGTCGACTAATAAACCGTCCGTTTTACAAGGCTGGCTGAGAGTCACGGCTGACGGCAGAGTGGGGGTGCAGGGCTCAGGCAGACTCGCTGCGGGAAGCGCCTGGTAAACGGGGGTTGCCGACTGCTCTGAGGTCAGACCGAGGAAGGCCGAAGCCACGCAGGCTTCTTGCCCTGGCAACAGTGGGCAGGCTACCCCAGAGTCCCGACTGGCTTCACCTGGAGCAGTTCCAGCGCATTGGCCGGCTGACTCCGTGGCAAGCCATGATCCCTCCGGACCCTTTCAATTTCACTCAGTGGCGCGTTGTTCTTGTGTTAGGAGACAGGGAGGAGAGAGGCTCCCACCCTCCCGTCTCCAAACCATTCATTATGGTCTAGACTTTTATTTCATCATTTGGGCCGTGCTCCGAACGGCACATTTCACCCACCCACTCCTCCAGTACGCCCCCTGCCAGCTACTGGCCCAAGGAATAACTCTGATTAACCAGCTGTCTTACCCTGGAGCCATCAGGGCCTCTAAACACGGGGGGTAACCCACCAGGAGCGGGGGTTAGGAGTCCCAGTCTGTGCCCAGTCCACAAAGGACAGGAGTCTGCTACAGACCCAGCCTGAGAGCCTGGGTCTTTAGCTCTCCGGGTGTCCAGGGCCAGTGGATACTGGCTCACCTGCAGAGAGGGCAGAACAGAGCCAAGGGCCCAGCTCTTCGGGCTTGTCTGCACAGGGTTGGCTTTTGTGGGATGTAGTTTTGCACATAACCTTTTGTGGAATCACACATCTGAAAAGATTGCCTCCACACGGCCGGCTCAACCTACTTGTCTCTGAATCAGCGCGAACCTTTCTCCGCACGAACGACACCCCCATCGCAGGCCTCAAAAGAGGAGCCAGTTCATTTGAAAGAAGAATTGCAACGTGTTGGAAGAAGTAATTTTCATGCCAAAAAAACTCTGTGCAAAACACAGGCCCATGTGGACACGCACACACACACATGCCCAAAGCCATGTAGACAAGTCCTGAGCATTAGCTGCTGTGCCCAGGAGCGGGGCTTTGTGGAGAGGGAACAGAGTGAGGCCCCAGAAAGCCTGCGCTCGCTTCCTCGCTCTGCCAGAAGGTTTACTCTGGGGCCTTGGGCAAGTCACTGAAGCAGAAATTTTCTACCTTGGACACTAATTTTGGGTGCCCGGACTGAGACACCTTAAGGTCCCTCCTGTAGGTCACTTTTGGACAGAGGGGCCTTAATTTTTCTGTCCCTAGGATCTCCGTCTGTTACATGGAGATGCTAACCTTCCCTGCCTCATAAGGTGGGGGGTATGGGGACATAGTCACAGTCACGTAGGAGGCATCCAGGTATTTGGGTACCTACCTGCATCTTTAGGCACCAAATAAAATCTTTAAAAATCTGGCCTTCAGATACCACAGTAATGGGGAACTAATGGGAGAGGCTAGTTAGCTAGGATCGGAAGTCAGGACAGACAGGTAGGTAGGATGGATAACAGGAGCATAACCGTCCTGAAATCAAAAATGTTGAGAAACAGTGATTGAGAGAGCTCAAACCGTCCTGCAAGAGCCAATCCAAACTTACCATCCCCAGGATGCCGAGAGGAAAGGAGTATGGAGAATGTGTGACTCACCCAAGAGACAGTCACCAGCCAAACTGGGAAAGGAGACCGGGCCTCCTAACTCCAGTCTAGTGCCCCATCGTTTGGACTGCACAGCCTCCTTCGGTGACTATCAACACCTTAAACGATGATGATGATTCATTATCTGTATTATCGTAACGCCTAAGAGCCCATTTTGCTGGGCGTTGTACAAACACAGACCAGAACCACAGTCCCTGCCCCCAGGATAAGTGATGGCTACAGCCCGATGAGGAAACACAACGGTGAGGCACGAAGGCAGAGGTCTCAGCACAGCAGCAGTCTAAGCACTGGCCAGTTTTTCGTAGGTCTCACAGCAAAGGGGAGCTTTGAGGTGGGATTTGAAGGAGGGCCAGGAAGTGGGTTTGTGGATGTTGAGGGGGGAGTCCCCCCTTGTGTCAGAGGCAGCACCCAGAATCAAAGCGGGGGGGGGGGGCATGGCAGTGCCCAGATCCTTTTGCAAGACACTACCAACACTGGGTTAATCGCGCGGAAGGCTTGAGAGCTCGTGCCCAGCTGAAGAGAACAGGTGGTTTTGGACCGTGATCCTCCCCAGGAGATCCAGTAGTTAAGGATCTAAAAAGACCCTCTGATAATCAACCATGAAGACAAGCAGTGGAGGGAGAGACCAGCTCCTCCATGTGTTCCTCTGCCCACCACGTTCCCTCCCCTTGTGTGGCTGGAGCTTAGGCCATCAGTAAACAAATGACAGCACATCTGTTACTGCTGAAGGCTAATATTTTAATAGGAAATTAATTTTTGAGAGCTATAGGCCAGACAGACCAATGCTCATGGATTAATGATCGCTGATAGTCACAGTGCACCCTAAGCTTGCTTTGAACTCAGAGGCATTGATTCCCCACTGCTTGAAGAAAACTACAGCTCAAGACGCATGGCGATCAGCTTTAGTTTATAGCAAGAGAGGGTAACAGGAGTCCAAAGGATAGATCCCCAAGCAGCTTAGTCTTCAGAGCCATCAGCAAAACCAGAATGGCTAACATGGCCAGGATGGCTGGGAGCCCAGTAGTTTGTCAATCGCAGTGTTGACGTCTCCTCCAGCTGCTCTCAGAGCTTGTACGTTGGCTTCGTGGTTTAGGAAACCCATTAGGTCGAGCTGCTCCAGCTGCTGCTGGAACTGGGTTTCTGGAGTCTGGGGACGTGGGGGACTTGCTTGACCAAGACCCTGCGTGATTTGCTCAATGTTACAGAGCTGGCACCCCGACTTGGCTGAGCCTGGTGCTGGGCTTGCGTTCTCACATGGCTCAGAGCCAGTCCCAGTTACTTCCCCGCCATCGGCAGGGCTTCCCACTGCCCCTGAGCCAGGAGCTCTGCCTTGGGCGAACCTTAGCACTTCCATCCCCAGGGCATGGAAACCCTGCTGAATCTGGGACAGAGCCTTGGTGGCTCTCGGGTTTGCCATCACTAACAGCATGTCTGGGCTGTGCAGCAGCTGGAGGAGAGCTTGGAGCTCCCGCGTTACTTCTTGTTGGGGATGCATGATTCCAACGAACCGGGGGTTACTCAGCATGAAGTGCACAATGAGACTGGGGTTCTGGCTCAAGGCCTGCATTATATTCCTCATGTAGGGGACAGACAGCATGCTCTGGAAAGGCAGGGCATTCCTGGTTATCGCTTGCAAGGCGTTCTGCACTTCCGGCGGGTTACACATCCCAGCTGCGACTCCAGGTCCTCCAGGCGGCACCCAGGGGCTCTGCCCCGTGCTGCAGTTTGGGCTGTTGCTGACATGAATACTCCCAACGTCAGTGCCACTGTTGTGATGAGGGGTGGAACTCTGGGGACCAAACTGAGAGGCCCAAGGATTCGGCAAAGGGTCTCTGTTTTCTGTCTGGGATGGTTGGCTGACCCCCGCTGGGGATGGCTTTTTCTGGGACGGGTTATTTGCACACTGCGCCTGTGGTCCATTCAGCGTTGGTTCTGGAGTATCAGCGAGCATTTGCCACAAGACTTTGTCTCCACCCAGCAGCAGAGTCTGGCTCCTGTTTCTCAATATTTCCCGCATCATCGCTGCATTCCTAACGAACTCGATCGTTTCTCGCATGAGGGCTGGGTTGTTCCAGATGTGGCTAACCCCTGGATTTTGCTGCACAAACTGATGGAACAGGGGGTGTTCCCTTAAGAACTGTGTTATCAGGTCGGTGTTTGACAGCACCCTCTGGACCAAGGGATTTTCCAGAATCTGTAGGATCATTTCGGGGTTGACCACCAGAAGCTGCTGGAGCTCATTTAGGAAACCTAAAAGGCTGGGTGCATTCCCACAGAGTATGCTCCGATCTGCCAGACCAGCTGAGCCAGGGGGGCCTCTGCCCAGGGACGCGCTGTTGGCTGGTGCTGGAAGGGTGGCTGGCTGGTTGTCTGCTCTCGTTTGCGGCCTGATGACGAGGTGGATGGTGAATCCGTCATGGATCCCAGCCTGGCTGAGAGTATCTTGGTCATTCACAATTTTCCCAGCAAAGATCAAGAGGAGCAGGTTGGTGGGAGCATGGAAGCGCTTGGCGATTTCGCCCCGAAAGTCGGCGATGGTGCTGTTCTCCCACACTGCAAACTCCTCCCTTTCCTTGAGGGTCTTCACAGTCACTTTGATGATCTGGAACGCTGCAGGGTTGCTGCCAGGGCCCTGTCCCTTTCCAGCCATGGTTAACCCGATGCTGGTCCCTTCCGGGAAAGCAGAGAGACCAGAGACTCAGAGGGGCTGGGAATGTCTAGAGACCAGATCCAGAGCGCTCATGCCAGCTGGTGCACCGCCCCATGCCGCCCCTCTGCTCACAAGCTTCCTAACCTCCTGGCTCTGCCCGGGTGGACTGTGACATCCCTGCTGATGTCACTGTAAGCAAGAAACCACATGGACACCTGCCTTATTCCCCATGCAGTAAGTAGTCCCCAGGTGGGGTGCAAGGGCCAACACCAATGTCGCTACCATGAACAGGTAATGTGAGCTGGGAAACAAATGCCCCTGGTGCTGTTAAGGAGAAGAAAAGGAGGACTTGTGGCACCTTAGAGACTAACCAATTTATTTGAGCATGAGCTTTCGTGAGCTCACGAAAGCTCATGCTCAAATAAATTGGTTAGTCTCTAAGGTGCCACAAGTCCTCCTTTTCTTTTTGCGAAAACAGACTAACACGGCTGTTACTCTGAAACCTGTCGTTAAGGAGAAGGTAAATTTTGGGGCAGGAAGCATCAAGCTGCAGCAAAGGGGAGCCACCTTCCTGATAATGTCATGGTCTCCTCTCAGACTGACAACACGCCTCCAGGGCAGCGACCCCAATTATTAGGAAGAAACAGGCAATAGCAATGGGGGGATTTCATTATTAGAAATATAGATAGTTGGGTTTGCGATGGCTGGGAGAACCACACGGTGAATTGCCTGCTGGGTGCAAAGGTAGTGGATCTCACGAGACATCTAGATAACCTTAATGAGGACGAGCCGGTGGTCATGGTATATGTAGGTACAACAACATAGGGATAGGTAGGAGAGAGGTCCTGGAGGCCAAATGTAGGCTGCTAGGTAAGAGACTGAAGTTCTGGACCTCCATGGCAGCGTTCTCGGAAATGCTCCCAGTTCCACGTGCAGGGCCAGTCAGACAGGCAGAGCTGCAGGTCTCAATGTGTGGATGAGATGGTGGTGCAGGGAGGAGGGATTTAGGGTTATTAGGAACTGGGGAACCTTTTGGAGGGAGAGTGGTCCATACAGGAGGGATGAGCTCCACTTAAACCAAACTGGAACCAGATTGCTGGCATGCAAAATTCAAAAGGTTGTATGATCACTCTCTATAAATACATCAGAGGGACAAATACCAGGGAGGGAGAGGAGTTATTTAAGGTAAGTGCCAGTGTGGACACAAGAACAAATGGGTAGAAACTGGCCATCAACAAGTTTAGGCTTGAAATTAGAGGAAGGTTTGTAACCATCAAAGGAGTTGATGGTGAGAGCTACAGCCATTTACCCTTCCCTCCACCTCCCAGAGGGGCCTGTCTTCAGGGCGAAGCCCCTCTGGAAGGCTGAGGAGTTTGGTGCCCCTTATGGGACACGCCCTGGAGGCAGTGCAGCACTGCCGGGTTATAACGTCCCTCTTGCTGCATTTCAGTCACCGAGGAGCCTGTGGAAAAAAAATGAAGCTGACCCACGTGTTCCCCTCCCTGCCCCGTGCGGCTGCTGCTGGAATCCATAAATCCCTGTTATTGGACCAAAGCCAAAGTGCCAAAGGGAAGAGTCAGTCAAACCTAAAGCACCCAATCCTGCCCGGTACCGCGTGTGGGAAAAGTGAGCCGTGCGCCTGGCAGAGCCTGAGGATTCGCCCACTTGCAGGCCTTTACCATCCATGAACAGCGGCTGTGTCATTCGCTCCTGCTCACAGTCAGACCCGGCAGCCTTTCTCTGGGCTGTGGACCGACTGCGGCTCTCAGTTGCACCCACTGACCCGCAGCTGAAGGCAACTCTCTGGCTAATTTATCAAATATATCAGCATTTCCATGGGGCCTCTCATCCACGACACGTCATCCGCGACACGTCTCCCTGCAGGCCAGATCCTCCTGTTTCCCTGTACCGCCTCGGGAGTGGTTGGTGAGCTGAAATTAGCCAGGCAGCTCCCAATGACCCATGCTGACGTTGCTATTTAAAATGCTAATAACTTTTCAGACAAGAGCCTGGGCTGGGCAGTCAATCTCAGCGAGCTGGCTCCAGCGACCCATGAGTTCTCTCTCTGCTGCAAACGGCAAAACGCCATTGCAAGAATGTTCTGAGCTTATCAGCTATTCGCTTTGGTCTGATTCTGCCATCCTTGCCCAGGGAAAGCTTCTACTGACAGCCGGTCAATGCGAATCCGAAGGGGGGATGCTCTTGGGTGATGGGCTGGGTTTTCCTAACCCTGAGAAGGCGTATATTAAGTCGAGTAAATAAACATAAGTTCCTGAGCATGTTTCATCGAGTGCAGACCTGACCTCCTGCATGGCACAGGCCAGAGCACCTCGCCCAGGTGCCTCGCTACTGAACCCCAAAACTTTAGTTAGACCAAAGCATTTTAGCCGGCAGGCAGAGAACCGGAGGGACCGAGGGGCCCCCAATGCCTGAGGCCCCTGCAGTGGCAGGGGATTGATCAGGTGAGGCCTGCCCAGGTGATCCCAGCAGGCGATCCACATCTCAGGCTGCAGAAGAAGGCAGAAAACCGCCAAGGTCCGTGCCCATCTGACCAGGGGAAAATCCCTTCCCTATCCCAAATCTGGTGACCTTTTGGACCCTGAGCACGTGAGCCAGACCCACTGGCCAGGCCGCTAGGAGGAGTCTCTGATGAAGCATGTACCTCGCCCAATTTGTGCGCCAGCAGAAGGGGAGGAGTCCCTTGCCCTGAGCAGGTGAAATGTCCCCTTTGCATTAAAAACCCGGGCGGGGGGATATTTATCTCTCATTATCCTCACCCCCACAGCGGGTCACAATCCATTTCTTCCTTTACCATTTGCAGCCTGCCAGTGCACTGGGAGGCAGAGCCCCCAGCCCTGCTGCTAGCACTGAGGATTCAGCAGGGATTAACTCTCCCGTTCCCTTCGGGGCTTGTTAGATGCGGAGCCGGGAGTCAGGGGGACCCCGCTGGATTTAGCCATGCCAGCGATTGCACGGATAGCACACGGCTCACAGGGGAGTGTTGGAATTAGGCCTGGCCTCCCTCCATCCCCTGCCTCTCCACCTCCCACATGCATCCCTGCCACCACCTCCCACACCTCTGGGGCCCCCTTTCCTGATCTCACACCCATTCCCCTCCGCCCTCCAGACAGAGCAGGGCGGGGCGAGTGGCCCTTGTGACGAATGGGAGCATTGAGCCAGGGGTGCCAGTCGAATGGAGGAGGAGGGGGTGGAATTGGGCAGCTCAGAGGTGCGATGTCTCATCCACACGGATGCTGACGTGACCGAGGATGAGTGCGGGGCATTGCAAGGAGAGGGAGGGAGCGAGCCGGGAGCTGGAGCTGGAAGGAGGCCGATGGGGAAGAGCTGGGCAGATGGCAGAGGATGGTGACAGGGAGGTTGAGGGGGTGAAGAGTTGGATGCAGTGATGTTCCTCAGAGGGCCGGGGAAGCAGGTGGGGTTGGTGGCTGGACCAGGAGAGGAGAAACCCAGCTCTCCCTTCTCAGTCTGACCAGGGTGGGGCGTGTGAGAGACGCAGGGGCCTCCCTAAGAGAGGGCAGCTGCAGAGGCCAGATTTCAGTCTCTGTCCTCAGGCCATCCTTGCCTAACTTTGGGGTTGATTTATTTCATAACCAGATAATAAGCTGAATTTCTGTATGACAACGGCTGCTGGCCCTGAATAGTGACAATCCCTAGCTCTATATACCACTTTTCGTCAACAGAGCTCAAAGTGTGCTACTAAGGAGGTCAGACTCATATCCCCATTTTTATAGATGGGGAAACTGAGGCACAGGAGGGTGAAGTGACTCATCCAAGGTGACACATAAAACCTGTGGCAGAGTTGGGACTAGTATCCAGGTCTCCTGAAGCCCAGTCCAGTGCGCTGTCCCCTAGGCCACACTGCAGTCTCTGGGGTAGTGTCCTGATTCACACAATCATGATGCTCCCTCCACCCGCTATGGTCCTTTCATTCTACTCCCATCCTGCATCCCCAGGGGGTGGGGAGTTTCTCTGGCCACTCCAGTCCCAGCTGTTTGTCACTTTGGGGATGAATCTTTCCATGCTGTTCAGCCCAGTGGAAGACTCTGCCCACAGCCCGTCACAGGGTTGCCCTGGCATCATCTCCCTGTGCCTGGGAGAGGTGGAGTCAGGGCTTTGCCCATGGGCAGGGGTATATGGTCTGCAGCCTCTACTGATGGCCCGAGATTTGGCTGCCTCCAACACCCTGCTGCTGTTCATCCAGGAAGGTCTTTGGCATCTCGTGGCTTCCCGAAAACCTCATGGGCCATGCCTGGTCCCTCTGCGATGTCACAGCTGGATGTTTCTAGGGGACATAATTAGCTTCCTTCCCTCCTTAAATTATTGACAAGGGATGTACAAAAAAAACCCTTATGAGAATTTACGGGAGTAACAACTGAACTCTAAGCACATGACAACGAGAATGAGCCGCACCGGGTATGTTTAGGAAGCGTAAAATCTCCATCGCTGGCAGCCAGCCATAGCGAGTCACTGCTGAGCGCTGCTTCTGTAAGAGGGGTACAGGCATTTTTACAGAATGGACATGCTGTAAACCTGTGATTCAGAAATACCTGATTGTTTCATTCCTATAATGTAAAGTATTAAAATGACTTACAATGATTAAAAATCATATGATATATTCATGTCATAGAACAGTCCAAATGAAATGCAAAAAATAAAAATAAAGTCAACCTGGAACGTTTTTACCTTATTTAAACAAAAAAGATTGACATTAAATGAAACAAGCAAGTCAAAATGATTCATTTTGACGCGTCTCTGTTGGGAATGTCATCAAAGTAGAACAAGGAGCAAATGTCTCAAGTTGCAGTGGGGGAGGTTTAAGTTGGATATTAGGGAAAACTTTTTCAAAAGGAGGGTGGTGAAACACTGGAATGCGTTACCTAGGGAGGTGGTGGAATCTCCTTCCTTAGAGGTTTTTAAGGTCAGGCTTGACAAAGCCCTGGCTGGGATGATTTAATTGGGGTTGGTCCTGCTTTGAGCAGGGGGTTGGACTAGATGACCTCCTGAGGTCCCTTCCAGCCCTGAGATTCTATGAAAATTGACACTTTCCTGTGGCCCATTTTGGTTCTGGATATGGCATTTTCAGACAGGAAAGCGTTCTGTGAGAAATGTCCCACTCGCTCTAGTGAATAGCCTTTCCGATGCAAATTGCAACACCACTCTGCAGCACTGTCCTCACCTTCCCACTGCTCTTGCCAGTTCTTCAGTCCCAGCAATGGCAACTTTAACAGTGCCTACCTACCAACATGTGGCCGGCCAAACTGAGTCAGGCCAATTCCATCCAGGCCAGTATCCTGTCTCCCGACAGTGGCCAGTGCCAGGTGCCCCAGAGGGAGTGAACAGAACAGGGAATCAATTGATCCATTCCCTGTCACCCATTCCCAGCTTCTGCAAACACAGGTTAGGGACACCATTAGGCTAAAGACAACAAATACAATTTATGTCATGGGCCCATTGTATTGCCAAGTATTTCTGTCCATCTTCTTATTCCTCAAAGCTGTTTTCTGTTCTTGAATATATATAGCCAAGCAAGGTGTGGTCGCCCATGCAACTCAATGGCATATCTCTGTTTATTTGTCTGTCTGTAATGTGATGACGTTTGAATGCAGCTGATCAATTACAGAATTTCAGGGAATGTTCTAGCCATCAGTGGGTGCAACCCTGTGGATTTTGGTGGCAATCAGCAAAGCAGAAAAGGAGAAAAGGGGAACACAAGGAGGAGTCCTTGGCATCTGGCTAGCAGAACCAGCAGCTTCAGCCACCTCAGGAATTGGATCTAGATTAAAGCAAAAAGAAAAGGAGTACTTGTGGCACCTTAGAGACTAACCAATTTATTTGAGCATGAGCTTTCGTGAGCTACAGCTCACTTCATCAGATGTTTACCGTGGAAACTGCGAATACAGACTAACACGGCTGTTCCTCTGAAACCTAGATTAAAGCAGTGGCTGATGGGAGCATAACAACTGCCCCCCGTCTCAGCTCTGGCCATCCAAAGCAGTTTAAAATGTCACCCCTTTGGAAGACTGACAGACAGAGAGAAGAGAACTGAGAATGCGGGGGGATGGGGGAAATGGAGTGAGGGATTTGCATGAATCCCCTTAAATAAGGGGTGGCTTGTGGGGTTGAACAGAAGGACCCCTGGAGCCCCTGGTGTGTGGAAGTTGCTCAATTTGCAGCTGCAGAAAAGTGTGTGGCCTCTCCCCAGTTACAACTATTGTTAATCTGCTGCTTTCGAGACAGCACTGGCCCCCCCATCACAAACAGGACAGACAGATGGTCCCTGCTGCAGAATTTGGCTCGATTTAGCCCAGAACGTTATAGATTTGAGAGGTGGGTTTCCTTCTACCGATTCACATTTTGTATTCAGGTCACACCCACAAAGTGCCGGGCACTGCTCACACCCACTGGAAGCCACAGTCCCTGCCTCAAAAGACTGACTGACTTTGATTTCCTTTAACATCTGAGACTGTAATTTAAAGACATAAGGCAGGGGTTCTCAAACGTTTGTACGGGTGACCCCTTTCACACAGCAAGCCTCTGAGTGTGACCCCCCCCCTTATACATTAAAAACAAGTTTTTATATATTCAACACCATTATAAAAGCTGGAGGCAAATCAGGGTTTGGGGTGGAGGCTGGCAGCTCACGACCCCCCAGTAATAGCCCAGTGACCCCATACACAGCTTGAATTGAATTGTATTTTATCGTTGGAGAGGTTTGAATGTCCTCTGAAAAGATACGACATTCAGCCAACAAGCCAGTCAAAGCTCATCCAACAAAACCATATCCGACACAACTCCCACTTCACATTACGCCTCTGGAGAATATTCGGGAGATCCTCTTGCGGATCTCCCTCGTCTTCACACTGTAAACAATTGGGTTTAACACAGGGGGGACAAAGAGGTAGGCATAGGACAGAAGAATATGCACAAGACCAGGGGCATTTTTACCGAACCTGTGCATAACAGAGACAGCAATTATTGGGACGTAAAACAGTAAGACAGCGCAGATGTGCGAGACGCAGGTGTTCAGGGCCGTGAGGCGCTGTTCATGGGATGAAGTATTAAAAACAGTCCTTAGAATCTTAACGTACGATAGGATGATGAACACTGAGTCTAAGCCGTACGTGACGAGGATGGCAAATAATCCGTAGATGTTATTGACGGTTGTGTCCGCACATGCCAGTCTCATCATGTCTGGGTGCAAGCAGTAGGCATGGGAGAGGACATTGCCTTTGCAGATTGGCAGCCGTTTAATCAGAAAGGGGAAAGGGAAGAGCATGCTGGTACTTTTAATCACAATGGCCAGCCCGATTCTCACTATCCTGGGGTTGGTCAAGATGGCCACATAATGCAGCGGGTCACAGATGGCGACGAAGCGATCCAACGACATGGCCAGTAAAATCCCCGACTCCATGAAGGAAAAGGAGTGAATCGAAAACATCTGGGCCAGGCAGGCATCAAACGGGACGTCTGCAGCATCGAAGAAGAAGATGCTGAGCACCGTGGGCAGGGTCGACAGAGACATACCAAGGTCATTGACCGACAGCATGCAAAGGAACAAATACATGGGCCGATGGAGATGCCGGTCTGCACAGATAATGCAGAGAACAGTGCAATTCCCTACCATGGCGGTGATGTACAACACACAGAAAGGGATCGAGATCCAGTGGTAAGCAGCTTCCTGGCCTGGGAACCCGGTCAGTTGGAATGTGGCAGGATGGAAGCTGGTGCTATTGAAATCCATCATGATGAGCAGTCACTGTGCCAGTCAGCTCCAATCCCCTGTGTAAATGAAAAATGAACCTGACAGTTACCTTGAGACCAGGTGACAGGGAAGGGACCTGCAGTTCAGCATTGACTTGCAGAATCCCAATGTACAAGGGCCCTCTCTGGCAAGCCTGGGGCTGCTCTCCCCAGTGAAATCAATGAGGAGTTGTTCTGAATCAAGCCTGAGGAGCCAGGTTCCAAGAATTCATTTCTAGCCCTAGCTCTTTTAAAGGGAACCAAGAGATTCTGCTCCCACAGTTCTGCCATCCACAGTTCAAGAAAGTTCATCAGGAAGGAGGCTGATAAATTGGCCCCCCACTAGTCACATTCAGAGTAGAAGTAAGGTGCACATTGTCAACCGCAAGGGAAATTAACTCTTGGAATGACTTAGCAAGGGCAGCTGTGAATTCCCCGTCACTGGCAACCGAGACTGCTCTAGTTCTAACAGGAAATAATTCAGGGCAGGTCTCTGGCCTGTGCAATGCAGTTGATCATAGTGGCCCCTTCTGGCCTTAAATCTATGCATCTCTGCCAGCCTGCGAATGATGCACGTAGCTCCTCTCCACCACCCGTCACCCTCATGCCGCCCTCCTCCCCCATACAGCCATGGGAAGGCTGGAACCTGCACGCCGGCTCCGATTCTGGCACAGTGCGAAGGGTGGCAAGCCCCATGACCCCTCCGTGCGTCTGACTGTGTAGTCGGGACCTGCGTTTAACTGGCCCCACGATCGCCAGCCCTCTTAGACTCTTTGAAGGCAGGGAAAGGACAGATTTATTATTGCGAACGAGCGTTAGTAGGATTCCCCAGTTGCACATCAACACTTTACAAACGATTAAAGGGACAGGCCCTAGCCATGAGAACTCACAGGCTGGCCCCTGTCCTCACCTACACACCGGCTGTGCAATGTTGTGGAGTTCGGTAGGGCTGGACAGCCCGTAAACCCAGGCAGGATTTGTCCCAAAGGCTAAGTCTGCACGGCAAGCCAAGGGGGGTGATTCCCCTGCTCACGGACACCCGCTGGTGCTAGCTTCCATCCAGGGGGGCGTGGGGCATGGTGGCAGAGGCAGGGCTGAGCTGTGCTGAGGACAAACCGACCTGCAACCGTGTGTGTGCGTGTCTGTGAGTGTGTCTGTCTGTGTGTCTGTCTCTGTGTGTGTCCGTCCCTGTGAGTGTCCGTGTGTGTCTGTCTGTCTGTCTCAGTGTCTGTGTGTCTGTCTCTGTGTGTGTCCGTGTGTGTCTGTCTGTCTGTCTCAGTGTCCGTGTGTGTGGGTCTGTGTGTGCGATTGTGTGTCTGCGTGCCCATGTGGTGTGTCTGTATGAGTGTGTGTGTGTCTGTCTCTGTGTGTGTCCGTGTGTGTGTGAGTGTGTTTGTCTCAGTGTCCGTGTGTGTCTGTATGAGTGTGTGTCTGTCTGTGTGTGCGATTGTGTGTATGTGTGCTCATGTGGTGTGTCTGTATGAGTGTCTGTGTGTCTGTCTCTGTGTGTGTCCGTGTGTGTCTGTCTGTCTGTCTCAGTGTCCGTGTGTGTGGGTCTGTGTGTGCGATTGTGTGTCTGCGTGCCCATGTGGTGTGTCTGTCTCAGTGTGTGTCTGTCTGTCTGTGTGTGTGTGTCCATGTGAATGTGTCTGTGTGTATGTGTGTGTCCATCTCTGTGTGTGAGGGTGTGTGTCCAGTGAGTGTCTCTGTGTGTGTGTGTCTTTCTCTGTGTGTGTGTGTATGTGTGAGAGAGAGAGTGAAATATGCGGAAATGTTCTCCTTAAGGTTTGAAGAGCCCAGGTCAGGCCAGAAGGCAAAGGTGTCGGCTGGGGTTTAGCAAGGGAATAGTGAGAGGAGCTTGAGGAGATTTGACATTCCTGCGGCATCTTGGTGCACCACAGAGCCACCCAGCTCATGCAGGTCCCACAGGAGGCAGAGGAACACTGGCCAGAGGCAACGGGGCAAATCCCTCCTCTTATGATAAAGCCCCGGGACAATGAACTCTCATGCAGAGCTGAGGAGATCTCAGGCTTTAAACTCATCTAAAAAAATCCACCCTGCCCCTTCCCCAGCTGCCTGCTTTTCTGTCTCAGAGCGACACGGGGCTTCGCTGACCGTGCTGCGTTTCATCCGATCTGTCCAGGAGGAAAATCGTCCAGAGCCAACTAACAAGTAAGGGACAGAATTTCAAAAGTGGAGATGAGAGTTAGGCACCTAGGTTATCTTCTGCTAAACGGTGAAATCAATTTTAAAAGTGTCCTGATTATAAACTTCTTTAAAGCTTTATTGGACGCATATCTCCCCGTAAAACTCAAAATAGAGGGTGTCAGGTAATCAGCCCTCTTCTCTCAACTGCAGCTGACTCACCAGGGTGGACGTGACGAAAATCTTCGCCACTGAGGAAAAAAGCCTCCAGACCTAGCCTGCCTGGAGCATACACCACAGACTGCCAGGCACGGGAGAGTATTTACACTGTATCCTTGCAGCAGCTCCTTGGAGGTCACAAAGTCCACTGGGAACTCAACTGGAGGCTGAGTCTGAACACAGGCTAATCAGGCAAAGAGGTCACATACAGTAGCAAGAGCCCTGTGGCTTTTGTTGCTTGTATCCATTATCCTACATGAAAACATCAGAAAATAAGAATAACGAGGAGTCCCCTGGCACCTTAAAGATGAACAGATTTAACAAATTCAAATTGGTTAGTCTGTAAGGTGCCACCGGACTCCTGGTTGTTTTTGTGGATACAGACTAACATGGCTACCCCCGATAGAAAATAAGAACGGACACACTGAGTCAGACCAGTTCCATCGAGCCCAGTATCCTGCCCTGTGTCAGTGGCCAGGGCCCAGGTGCTTCACAGGAAATGAACAGAACAGGGCAATTATCAATTGATCCATCTCCTGTCGTTCACTCCCAGCTTCTGGCAAGCAGGGGCTAGAGAAACTCAGAGCATGGTTTTGCATCGCTGCCCATCTTGACCTCCAAAAAATCTCGTGCTTTTTTGAATCCTGTTATAGTCTTGGCCTTCACAACGTCCCCTGGCTATGAGTTCCACAGGTTGTACATTGTGTGAAGAAGTCCTACATTATGCTTTTTTTTAAACCTGCTGCCTATTAATTTAATTGGGTGACCCTGGTCTCTGTGTTATGGGAAGGAGTAAATGACACTTCCATATTCACTTTCTCCACACCAGTCATGATTGTATAGACCTCTGTCATAACCCTGCCCCCCCCCCCCCCCGCTTGTCTCTTTTCCAGGCTGAAAAGTCCCAGTCTTATTAATCTCTCCTCAGATGGAAGCTGTTCCATCCCCCTCATCATTTTTGTTGCCCTTTTCTGTACCTTTTCCAATTCTAATATATCTTTTTTAAGATAAGGTGACCAGAACTGCACTCAGGATTCAAGGTGTGCGTATGCCATGATTTATATAGAGGCGATATGATATTTTATATCTGATTATTTATCCCTTTCCTAATGGTTCCCAATATTCTGTTCACTTTTTTGGCTGCCACTGCAAATCGAGGGGATGTTTTCAGAAAACTATCCACAATGACTCCAGATCTCTTTCTTGAGTGGTAAAAGCTAATTTAGACCCCCTTGTTTTATATGTATAGTTGGGATTATGTTTTCCAGTGTGCATTTCTTTGCATTTATCAACATTGAATTTCATCTGCCATTGTGTTGCCCAGTCACCCAGTTTTGAGAGATCCTTTTGTAACTCTTCACAGTCAGCTTTGGGCTTAACTATCTTGAGTAATTTTGTATCATCTGCAAACTTTGTCATATCACTGTTTCCCCCTTTTTACCAGATCACTTATGAATCTGTTGAACAGTAGTGATCTCAGTACATACCCCTGAGGGACCCCACTATTTACCTCTCTCCCTTCTGAAAATTGACTATTTATTCCTACCCTTTGTTTTCTGTCTTTAACCCGTTACTGATCCATGAGAGGACCTTCCTTCTTGTTGCTTCTTATCCTATGACAGCTTACTTTGCTTATGAGCCTTTGATGCGGGACCTTGTCAAAGGCTTTTTGAAAGGCCAAGTCCATGATATCCACTGGATCACCCTTGCCCATATGTGTGTTGACACCCTCAAAGCATTCTAGTAGATTGGTGAGGCATGATTTCCCTTTACAAAAGGCAAGTTGACACTTCCCCAACAAATCGTGTTCATCTATGGGTCTGAGAATTCTGTTCTCTACTATGGTTTCAACCAATTTGCCCAGTGGTGAAGTTAGCCTTAGCAGCCTGAAATTGCCAGGATTGCTTCTGGAGCCTTTTTTTAAACACTGGCATTGCATTAGCTATCCTCCAGTCATTTGGTACAGAAGCTGATTTAAATGGTAGGTTACATACCCATGTGACCCGTGACCGCAGATCTACTCTCTAGAGAGACACAGTTACCCTGGATCACACCCAGTACAACATGGCTGGGACCCACACGGACTATTGGATACTCAGTGAGAATAAAGGGGAGGGGAGCCCACATGGTGTCCTAGAGACGAGGCAAATATGGAGGAGCACGATACCTTGTGAACCATGGGTCACAGAGTGGGAAGTACAAGTCTGGCTCTCTGGATGGAAAGAAGCCATGAATAGGAACAGACCCCCACCCACACCCACACAAGGGACACAAAGCAGGTGTAAAGGGCACCCATGGGGCATCTTAGGCACCCTGTGCGTGTGTGTGCGAGCAGCTTTGCGGAGTACCTGGATCCTGGGTACTCCGGGGTGGGGGTGGCCCCTCTATAGCCCTTTCCAAAGCCCACCTTTGAGAGCGGGTGTGAGAATGTGGCTGTCTGGATGCACTGCATGTGAGACTGGGTCCCTCACCCCTAGCACCCAAGGCCTGGTGCACGGTAATAGACTCAGCCCGGCTCTGCAGCCCTTTGTGTGCAGAGCTCCCAAGCCCCATTTTAAGATGGGGGTTTAAAGTCTTGTTGTTTATTTTTAGTGCCTGGTTCCCACCCCCTGAGGTCCTAGGAAGTGAGAGACACAAAGTAACAGATAGACCTTGCCCTAA